GATACCAAACCTAAACCTAAAATTAGAAAATCTATTTTGTATATGTATTTTATATTAAATACATATTTTTTTTTATATAAATGTATAATTAGGGCCCCAGTGGGAGTACAGAACGGAATTACCGACTAGGCCCCGGTCCTGAAAATAAACGAGGTTTAATTCTGCCCCCGCCCCCGCCCCCGCTCCTGCTCCCGATTTTTTTTAAAAAAAATAGTCTCGTACAATATCGGGGTCACACGGGAGCAGGGTCCCATGGGGGTTAAAACTGACATCTTATTACAGGTTGCAGCCGTTTGGTCTATTGATTATGATGTAGAGGGTTACATATGTGGTCTGTTTTCTCTTCGAAAAAACATACAACACCTAAAAGTTGTAACTTTTATCTATCTATATTATACTATAAAAGAAGCATTTTTCTTTTTCAAATTCTTTATACTAATGATTATAAATTTGTTAATATTGTTAAATAAGTGGAAAACCTAAATTGTAATTATAAATTAATTAAACTTCAATATTAAAATATCATCTTTTACTTTTACTTATAAAATTATGCCTTTAACTTTTAATATATTAGACTTAACTTGTTAGTTTGGATATGTTTTCATATGTAAACCATTGTCATTTTAAAGTCAAAATTTTAAATAATTTGTATAAAATACTTAAATTGTTAATTTAGATATAACGTTAAAATTTTAACTTAATTTGAAGTTTCAAATAAATATAAAAGAAAATTTAAAGATTACTTTGTAAATAGCCAAAAGTTATAAATTGTTGTGTTAAATGCAAAACTTAAATTAAAAGTTTCCAAATACGTAACTTAAAAATAACTTACAGCAATAAACTTAAAAGTAACATTATATAAAAAATTATGTAAAGTCCCAAAATAGTAGCTAAATTTTCAAATTTTCAAACACCAAAAAAATATAGCCAATTGTTCCAAGCCTATCATAGTATACCTAATCTCAACATCAGAGTGAAACCAAATAACAATGCTGAATAAAATCAATGGGATGTTGTGCGATCATGTTGTTCTCTTCCTTTTTAGAACTTAAAGTACCTGAAAATATTTAAACCACACACCGTAGGCATAAAGCTTAGTGAGTTTCCTAAAATACCACACATTATACAATGGGCCCAACCTGGCATATAAACAGGCCCAACTCAGATATAAACGAGCCCAACCCAGCATATCATTGGGCATAACCTATCAATTCATTGGGACCAACCTAATAATGCAATGGTCCCAGCCCAACATATCAATGGGTCCATCCCAACATACAAATGTAAGAGTCAGAAACACAATTAACATCCTACACAGTATAGTGAGAAGACTCACCTGGCATGAAATCAGCTAAACCACAGCTTAATGATATGCAACCGGTGCTACAACACATCTAACAAAACATACAAGGTCCAAACTTAGTCTATACCCTGAATCCAACAAATTAACCAAAAGTCAGCCATCCTAAAAAGACAACGGTCAAAGTCAACAGCCAAAATTACCAACAGTTGACCCTCACGTCATGACCACCCATTCATCACGTCATAAAAATGCACCCACCCTGATTCCAAACTCGGTCTCGCACGAACTCAACCAACTCGATCACGGATAACTCACTCAACAAGCATTATGACGTGAACTGTCCTTGGCCACATCGTGAACACAACATGATAAGATAGACGAAAGATCCACCATTGTCACGTCGTGACATTCCCTATGTCACGTCGTGACCAACGTCTAAGGCAACATCTTAAAAGTTTGATTCCTTAATCCATTAAATCTTCAAGTCCAGCTTTCTAGAAATCTTAAAAGGACTCGATAGGTTCATAAAAATGACAACTCTATGGATATGCATGCTCCATGCATGTCCTTTACCTAACCTAGGTCAAAAGGCAAGAATATGACCTAAAACCCATGCGACCTTCACAAACCACATCCAATTCTTAGATCTATAAGATATGATGCTCTAGGGACTTAGGATGACCATAAATTTTCCAAATTTATTCCATCCATTCACTCAAATTAAAAATGTGATTAAAAAAGGAATAGAACAACTTAGATATAAGAAAATGTTGAATCATTACAAATGGTCCAGAAGGTGATATCAAAAATTAGATGGTGTTGCTTGCTTGGTCTTTGCACAAAATCTCCTTCTACTTCCTTCAAAGAGCACCAAAACCACCAAAATGAGCCAAGAACCACTAAGAGAGGTTAGGGTGAAGGTTTTTGAGGTTTGAGAGAGATGGGGGCCGAGCAATGAACCCTAAATTTGAGTTTATAAGGTTTAAATATGAAGGAAACCCTAAAAGATCATAGGCTTAAGTTGCAGCCCTTGTAACATGGTGACCACCTACATGTCACATTGTGATTAACCTCCACATATGAATTCTTCAAATGACTCATCATGTCGTGACCTCCTTATGGTCACATCACGACACTTGGTTTACCCCCAAAACCATGTTTTTGACTCCTTAATGACCTAAACTGATCCAATTCGGAAAACGGGTGTTACAACTCTCCCCCACCTAAATTAGATTTTGTCCTCAAAATCATTCCTTACAACTTACTCTACCACACCATCCGACCGCATCGGAACTTCCTGGATTCCAATTAGGATTGAGAAGTCTTCTTACATAGATGGCCGCCTTTCAACACTGCTATTGAAACCCAATCTTAACAAAAATCACATACCATGGCAAAGAAATGAACCTTAACATGCCGCCCTCAGACAACAAAAGAAAATCCAACAGCTCTACCCGAAAACTGAAAACCCTATACCATGTCTGACTTCCAGATAGATAGAACCATTCCAAACCATATCCATAATGACTCCAATCTACAACCAGTACCGAACCAACCCCTCCGACCCTGAATTATCTTACTGATAACTAGAAAAACAGAATCTCTAACCATTCACCGATGTTGATAACCTTGCACCCAAAAACAAAGGCGACTACCAATGCGAGTATTAACCATTGGTGCCAAACTAATACATAACCCATATCCTGATAACCGAAAAATCGCATATTTGGTCTATTTGAGACCTCTTAATTCCACGCTGGCCTTCAAATAAACCAAGACGCAGAATCATTGACCATTTGTTGAGGCTAACAACCTCATCATGGTCGCACAATGAGACTCCGACAAGGAGTCTAACTGTTAAAAGCTACTGTAGCTTATCCGCCACACGGATCCAACCTGCTGATCACTGAGCTTCCCTACTCCAAACTTGTTCTAACTACCTAACCATGTCAATCATTTTTGGTCCCACCCACATGAGTCATACACTTACTGATTCACGATACCCCATGACACCATTTAATCCACTTGAACGTTAATATCAAAGATCATACCGATCTTGCCATCATTTCATTATTGGCTGGGGACTCACGACTAACACTACATTCCCCGAGCATAACCTCAAATGTTTGAATGGTTCACTTTCCCAAGATAACATAATCAATCAAGCCTTGCTCACGGGTCTCAACTAAGCTAGCATAACAAAACGGGCCTTTCCCACGAGTCTCACCCAAGCTAACATAGCCAAACGGGCCTCACCCTCAATCGAGAGTTATATAAGTCTAACCCCTGATATAACTCTAACAACCCTCAACATGGAACGGCTAAACAACAATAATGAACCCGATTCAATCTGAACGAAGGATGTGATACCCTCACAATCTTACAACCATTGTTAAAATGACTAAACTCATCCTAGTGGATACTATGGGTTAGCCTGTAGTCTCGCCATTATTCCACTATAACCATGGGCCAACCTATTGTCTTGCAATTATCCACAATAGCAAGCCAAAATCAACATGAGCCGAAACCCCAACCTACTAAAGCCTTCATCAGATAAAAAGATGCAGAGAAGTTCTAACACAACCCTCAACCCGAGCCTAGCCATGAACCCATAATGCACCATTACCAATTCTTAACGTCCTCGGATAAGATAAACTAAATCCTCAGCATTTACCTCGTTGATTACAACCGAACAATGAACATTATTCCTTGCACAAACCCATACTCATACCACAACTCTCCACTTGTCCTAGAATACAAAATTCTACATTGATTCACAATTGGAAATATTCCTATTAATCCAAATGATTCCCCGCTCCTCCCCATTGATTCAGTTACACTTTGAAAACCTCATAACTATTGGATTTCCGACCCATCCCATAATCTCACTACTCAACCACCACCATACTGACCTCACAAGAACTAAGGTTCCATGACCAAACAATCTAGGGTACCCACACTCGAAACTAGATTAAGCACTTCGCTACTCTTGATGAAAAATTGTCGCATCCAAAGCATCTCCCCTTATACAATTCCAAATCGTTAAACAACTCAACTGATTCAAAAGAACGAATAAACCCACTATCGGAAACAAATATATAATCAAATAACTCACTTGTTACTCCCAAATACATGCGAACATGCATCAACCACACCCTGAAGTTGATAGGTCAACAACAGTTAATACCCTACTAGCGATAGTGATCGGTTCAACGAGCTAACCAAACCCTTAACTGATATCCAACCTGAGCGACATAAGCACCTCTGAACTCTATCTTCATTGTCCCAAAAGGGACAACTGGATACAACAAGCTTCTGGTGTGAGGACCACACACTCATCCTTGAAAGCTTGAATTTGACAACAACTCACCCTACACTCATGATTTGACCAATCCCTTATACCTGATTACCATGTAAGGTATCAACAAGCTCGAATACCAAAAATTAGACTTACACCACAACTTCATCAAATCCATTACACTGAAACCCTCAAAATCAATCTGGCTACTAATCTTCCTAGTAGAACACTCAGTTTATTGCCATCTAGGGATCATGTTATCATTAGCCATTTCCTCCCATGTCAATGCTCGCAACCGGCACAACCAGATACCCTTCTAACATGATTCTTGGTATGCAAAATGACATATGATAAACCCTTGAATAAAATAACAAGGAAATCATAAAGAAACTTTGATTCTTTGGTGGAGACCTAAATGAACCGAAGATAATGTCTCCACACAATCGCATGATCATAAGCATAAATAATAAAAGCATGAAGGAAGAAAATATGATACATACCTGCAAAAACATATTATGGAACTCTGGTCTCCTTGCCCTATAACTGAAATGCTTGGATCCTCACTACTAGAGCCTCCACCATGCCCTCATGAACATCATCAATCCTCAGTGTAGTTAGAGCAGGTGCCCTCACCTCTTCACTCATCATCCTCAAACAGTCAGCCTTCTTGTGACCCACTTGGTTGCAATGAAAACAAATCAGACTCGAACTCCAAGGATAATCCCTACTAAAATGATTGACCTATCCACAATGAAAACAACCCCTTCCTTTCTCACGACAACTCCCCTTGTGAGTCCTCCCACACTTGGCATAATGGGTCCTGGACTTGATGACCTCCTAATCACAAATCACATATCTTTGGCCTCTTTGCCTGGCCTACTGCAGCTTGAACCTACTCCGGCTCGCACTTCGTCTGAAGTTGCAGCTTAATATCCTGCTCGCAGGCTCTAATAATCCTGTCATCCAAAGTCTTACAGCTCGACAGATTCACAAACTCCTAAATATCATCCAACAACATATCATGGTACCTCGTCTTCTTCATCTCCTCATCCACAGTGTACTGCGGAACCAAGAAAGCCCTTTGCCTGAACATTGCGGTGATCTCTACCACTATCTCTGTCGTTTGGAAAAGGTCCTGAAATTCCCTTGCTAACTGCTGCACCTTAATGGTCGGTGCAAACTCCACCCTGAATATTGCCACAAAATATGGCCAAGACATGGTAGCCACGACCTTAACTCCCAAAGAGTGACCAACCTCCTCCCACTAGTTGCAGGATCTATCCTTTAGAAGGAAAGATGTAAATCCCACCTTCGATCCGCCAGGGAGGAAACTTGTCCGCTGAACATTCTCTATGTCAGCAATCCACTATCTACTCACAATAGGGTCCTTCTTCGTGAAGAAATCTGGGGCTCCACAAGCCTTTAACTCTTGAAAAGAGAGAGTCTGCCCCCGATCTATCCAACTATAATCTCTACACAAAAAGCCTCAAACCGCTCATCCAACAGCTCAATGATCCCCTCCTTGATGATACCAAACATAACAGAAGTTGCATCCACAATACCACGAGCAATCTCAAATGTAACAAACTCGCATATCCTCTCATGAATCGGCTTAACACTAGAGCCTAACCTGAACCAGAACTAGAACCTCCAATCTTCTCCATGAGTGCTCATCACCATATTGAAAATCAACCAACCAAATGATCAAAGCATACTCGAAGAATTCCTCATCATACAGGAATCCTAGAATCTCCATGACTTTTCTTGATTCGAGTACATATCATGTGCTCTCAATATTACACACCCAATACTACCTTACATACCTATTCATACTTTCCTCAAAAATTATTCCAGATACTCTACATTACCTCCTTATACTAATATTCCCAATACACGCTAATCAGAGCACCACTCGTACTAAAGCACTTCCTAGGCTCTGCTAGGATCCCCACCTCACCCTGCCATCGGCTGCTGAAAAAATCATATTACTGTTAGCTAACTACTTAATGAATACAATTACATGTAACAAAACTTAAATAATCTATCAACTAAAAGACTCAACCCTACAACAGTTGGACTCAAACGAGAGCTGTGCAATAGGGCCAAATCAATCACTCTAAGAATATTTAACCTTTATAGCATGTAACTTAACATCTTCATTTTATAGTTAACTCACATAAATATGAGTCCTACAAAGCATAAAGCAAGCATCATTCAAGCAGTAAAATTCTATAGGCCATAAAGCATCAACATACATCCTTCCTAATAGGCATCTCTCTAATAGGTATTCTAGCATGCAACTTGAATATATCCTCATGCTAACTTCTAGTATAAAAAACATAACAACATGTATTCTTGGAATCAGTTACTTGAGTTCGGATGATTGTGCCCCTTTCTTTGTAAAAGTCTTTTTAGAAAGTTCATTTTTCTTTAAAGAATTTACCAATTCCTCATTTGAGTTTAGACACACATAAGAGTGTGCCGAATCCCTCAAACAACATCATTTTTATAACATTCAAGTTGTTTTATTTCCAAATTTCACTAAGATCAATTCTAAAACAACATCATTTTTATGTTTATGCTCCTAGAACTACCTCAACTTTGAAAACCTCCTCAAGGTAGCACTCTAGGCTGAAAAACCATCACCATCTTTCTCTTCAAAACCGAAAAGACCCGATGTGAGCTTCATACCCCTTGTTTTCTATTTTTTCCTTCTTTGGGTGTGTGTGTGTGTGTGTGGGGGGGGGGGGAGTACAAGTCAAAGTCTTGTGTAAATCTTTGTATATTTGTTTTCATGTGCATGTGTTGTATGATATGCGTGTTTGATGCTGTGAAATCCATGCTAAAAGTCCAAGAACACAAGATTTTTGGTTAAATCTCAAGATGTTGGACTTAGTTAACATAATATGTAGTTAAAAATGAAAACTAGCTTCTAAATGATTTTTTTTTTCACTTGATGCATGGTAATTATCACAAAGATTAGTCCAAGATTATGTTTTAAACAAACTTTTGGCATGAAAACATGAAAAAACGATAAAATATGGAAGTTTCACTAAAAATGGACTATCTTCGGCCATAAAGGTAAGAATGGACCATTTTTGAACATTTTGATAAACTTGGGCTTTTATTGAACGTTTTGGTATAAATAGGTAGAAAATGGGCTTTTTAGTAAACATGGGCCATTTTTGACAACTTTAGTATAAATGGATCGAAAATGGGCTTTTTAGTAAACATGTGCCATTTTGAAAATTTTAGTATAAATGGGTCGAAAATAGGCTTATTAGTAACTATGGGCTATTTTTGAACACTTTTGTAAAAATAGGCCTTAAATGAATATTTTTGTAAAAGTGAAATATTCTTGTCAACCTTAGTAAAAATTGGTCATTTTTAACAATTTCGGCATTATTGGGTCATTTTCAACATTGTTGGTAATAATGAGCATTATTGATATTTTATATAATATTGTGCCACTTTTGACATTTTAGTAGAATTTGAGCATTTATTGACAATTTTGGTAATATTGGATTATTTTTGACTGAAATGATAAAAATGAGTTAATTTGTTACACTTATTGTAAAAATGACTATTTTTGTCACTTATAACTTATAGGTCGAAAATACACTCTAGTAACATTATTTATAACGTTAAATAATGAAACTCAATGTTTGTGTAAATCCCGTTAAGGCTCTTGTGAGACACTCCTTCACTCATACCCACTTAGTGTACACCATAAGTCCTGGAATTATAACCAGAGTCTCCAGCGGGAGTTTGTGTATAGATCTATATGGGGGTGACACCCTACACCTGAGCTACTCG